GAGAAGCAAGCCTGCACTCATGATCCAAATTTTAAAGCCTCTAGGTCCTTGTATGAGAAACAGATGAATAGATTTTGCTTTTCCTTGCTTTGGATCAGCTAAAGCAATCATGCCCTCTAGCCTCTGAAATCTGTACTGCAAAGGCCTTTTTAACAGCCGTTTTTTTGGCTTTATCCTCCTCAACTTTGGTTCTTGAACTCGAAAGTCAGTAAAAATGTGATTCAGATGCACAAAGACTCCTCCAGGTGAAAGTAAAGCAAGCAAGTAATCTCATCTGGCTGCGTAAATACGGCTATTGAGCAATTCATTTGCCTTCTTAGCTCTATTTTTTTAAAAAGAATTTTAAATGGCATTTATGCTCTATACTTTCATATTACAGGAAGAATACTCCCTAAAATATTGCCAAGTAGGAAGTTATCCATCAATTCCTAATAAAGGCACACAGCTAAACTCATAATGACAAATTATGAAAGTTGCCTGCCTGACCTTCATTAACCATCTGGCATTTAGAATGCTAATCTTTAAAAAGCCACCTTGGCATCTATAAAAAAAGACTGTGACTTGATTTCTTTCTACTTCTTTGAGATCATCGAACAGCAGGTCTGAGCACACTTTTTGTTTGCTCACTTGTTCCTGTGACACCTTCACGTCCCGTCTGCACACCAGGGCACACCTCCCATTGAAAGAACTCAGCAGTGGTTCTCAGGAGCAGGAGTATCAGTGACATCATCTCGGGCCACCTTTAAGAGAACTTCATCATTTTTCTCCTTGATTTTGAACAGGGCACACATTTGCACACACGGAAGACATTCTGGCAATGGATTTGGAATTCAGATTGGTTGTCAGGCTTTTGAAAATACCTTCCTACCTGAATTGGATCACAGATAATTGCTCTGATCAAGTGTAATACATATTTAGAAGAGGAAAAAAAATAATGAGAAGAGACTTCAGTCAATATAATTTTATTTCATGGACAGAGACAAATGACTGGTTTATTTGGGCGAGGAAACATTAAAGATTAAATGCTTCCAGCAACCAGTTTCTGGGTCTCCAAGCACAAATGACTGATCGCATTTGGTTATTTTAAAGGCTACCCAGAAATAAAATGAGAGTAGTTTGAGAGATCTTCCCTGGTATAGAGAGTATTTGGTTCATAGCAATAGCTATGTGTAGGGCTTCCCTGGTAGCTCAACTGGTAAAAAAATCCACCTGCCAATATAGGAGACCTGGGTTCGATCCCTGGTTGGGAAGGTCCCCTGGAGAAGGGAAAGGCTACCCACTCCAGTGTTCTGGCCTGGAGAATTCTGTGGACTGTATAGTCCATGGGCTTGCAGAGAGTCGGACACGACTGAGTGGCTTTCATTTCACATACTTCAGTGGCTATGTGCACTGGGCATTTTCTATTATACAAACTTCTCTGTTTGACATCTCCCTCAGAGAGCAGAAATAAACAACCCAACATCACCTTGGAACTTTGAGAGCTGAAACCATCTTGGAACTTCAAAAGGTGTCACTTCAGAAATGGAGGAGTGGGGGGTGGTATGCTCAGGAGCAAGTGCAGCTGAACAGATCCCCCAGAGCCTAGGACTTTCCCTCACATTTTCATGGTTTCACATTGCTTACAATTCTCATCAGTGAGAAACTAATTTGATTAACTAATACCAAAGCCTCTTATAAGGATCACAAACACCTCTGGGATGGTTAGTGTAATATCTGTCATTCAGAAACCTATGTATGTAACTGGGCAAGATTGCTTTAAAAAAATCTTTGGGACAATAAAGGATATTTTGTTTAAATTTCAAAACCATATTGCATGGGAAGAAATTAAGTATAAGTCCTGTTAGGAGCCCTTCCTCTCTGGTATGGGCTTCCATGGGGGCTCAGACAGTCAAGAATCTGCCTGCAATGCAGGAGCCTTGGGTTCAATCCCTGGATTAGGAAGATCCCCTGGAGGAGGGCATGGAAACCCACTCCAGTATTCTTGTCTGGGAAATCCCATGGGCCGAGGAGCCTGGTAGACTACGGTTCATGGAGTCGCAAAGAGTTGGACGCAATTGAGTGATTGAGTCTCTCCAGTACTATGTAAGAATCCCAGGTAGCCACAGTCCCAAGGATTCTGATGAGCCTGGTTCTGAGCTCATCAGAACCATTTGTGATTATGTGGTTTTCTGCTGACCCTGGTATTCACTGCCTCAGCACCCAAATCAGCCACTAGACCCCACCACCCCTACATTCCTAGGTTCTCGAAGGCAGTTGTATTCAACACTGAGAGCTGGGTTCTCCCCCTCTTATTCAATTAACAGAGGCCTCACTCTCTATACAATCTTGCTATTAAAAAAAATCAGGATCTTGAAAATAAAAAGTCATTAACCTTCCCCTGAGCAAGTAAGGCTCTAGACCTTCAAGATATTACTCTTTTGAGCTCTTGCGCTCTTCATTGCCCTGCTCTGTAACTAAGAATTAGATTGAATTTCTCTAAGCTTCTTCCCTCATAGCTCAGTTGGTAAAGAATCCGCCTGCAATGCAGGAGACCCTGGTTTGATTCCCGGGTTGGAAAGATCCCCCGGAGAAAGGACAGGCTACCGACTCCAGTATTCTTGGGCTTCCCTTGTGGCTCAGCAGGTAAAAATCTGCCCACAATGCGGGAGGCCTGGGTTCGCCCCCTGGGTTGGGAAGATCCCCTGGAGAAGTGAAAGGCTACCCACTCCAGTATTCTGGCCTGGAGAGTTCCATGGACTGTATAGTCCATGGGGTCACAAAGAGTCGGACACGACTGAGTGACTTTCACTTTCACTTTCTCTAAGCTTTGTGTCTTTCCTCTCAAATGCCATGGCCCCTCACAGGATGCAGAATACAGACACACCGCCGAAGTAGACTAGCACCACTTGGGTTACCTCTGGGCCTCCATTCTTTCATTTATGAAACGAACAGCCTTGCTGGATCAGCTGTCTAAAGGATTCGGTATCTAAAACTCCCTACCATGATATGAGTCTGATCCATATTGGTTCTGTAGCAGTATTTTTTTTTTTTCTTTAGCAAGATGTCTCAAGTTCTGAACTACTCACTTATGAAAAACTAGAAACAAATCCATTGTAATCTGGGTATCACTTGCAATGAGCAAGGGTCTTAGTACATTAACAGTGATTCAGAATCAACTTGTAGCACAAATTCTTTCTGGCACTCCTACTGAACTTTTTTTTTTTAAACAATTCATAAACTTTCCAAAGATTTGATTCATTTTAGATTTTTAAAATACTATTTAAATAAAATTTCTCCTTAATGAAGTGGTTATACATTACACATAACTCAGTACATTATCTCTTTCAGCTCCAGTAAGAAAACACCAGGAAAGTAATTTCATTTCCTCTTCTGTATATAATGAATCTTTTCATGTTTCTTCTAGTTAATTTCTTAAAAAATTAAACCGAATGACAGCCTGAACCATTTTTCCCACATTCATCTGTGACGTTGTGTGGTTAATAGTCCAGTCTCACAGTTGCCTGGGACCAGCTGTCAAAGATGGCACCATGGGGAATGTACTATAATTTTAAGACCCGTTGCAGAGTCACATATGTCCATAAATCTAAATTCACTAGAATGCTTATGGGAAGATAGTCATCACCAGATTTGAAAATAAATCCTTTATTGCTTTCATTTTGAACTTCACTCTTTACTTGACTCAAATTATCTTTAACAGATAATGGATGAGGGGCCCTCATAATGAGTGAACAAGTTTTTAGAAGCAATCTCATTTGCAAAACTTCTTAAAATTCTTGCCAGAGCCCATTTTGAACACAGCCAGTGCAATTATCTCCGTTCCCTTGAAGAGATATCTTCTTGACCTAGTCAAGTCCACATCTTGGATGAGTTTTTCAATACAGAAAAGTTTGAAGGAAAATATTGGGCATGTTCTACAAACCTCTCCAAGACTCTGGGATTTCATCTGTGGGCAGAAGATACTTTCATGTGGGAGAATTAGACAAGATACAAGGAAGAAAGGTGGTCAGTTTATTATTCCTTCAGCGTGAGTTCCTTCCTCCAAGCCTGGCCTTGGTATCGCCGTTTAGAATCGGCCACCGGCAGCCTCCTCTCGCTCACTGGCTTCCGCCTCACGGCCCTCCTCAGAGGCTGCTTTCCCTCCCTGTATCACCACAGCGGCCTAACGTCTCCAGTTCTTCACAGGGCCTCCTCGGGGAGGCTGAAGACCTCCTGGGGCTGGAATCACAGAGGCCTTGCTCTGGCCTCAGGACAGCCCCTCCTGTCAGCCTTCCGCCTGGCCCAGGGAGCTCAGTGTCCGCTCAGCGTGGGGCCAGTTCCCTCAGTCCCCTCAGGGTCTCTGCCATCCCTCCCGTTCTCTCTCAGAGGACGACCTTTCCTCCCGCGACGCTAAAACGTGGAGGCTCTACGGCGTGCTCAACGCCTCGGCTCCTCCTCTGCTGCCGCCCAGGCTCTGCGCCTCACTTACCTCGTGTTCTTCCACGTCTAGTTCCTGCAGTCTTGCCCTCTTCACCGGCTTCTCCTCAGCCTATAAACGTGACCACGCCCTTCCGGCGCCAGAAGAACTCCCGTCAGTCGTGCCTTCTCCTTCAGCTGCCTGTATTTCTCCTTCACTGGCAGTATTTCTGAGAGAGCATCCCGGCCTCGCTGTCTTCTTTTCCCTCCAGCCTGGGTTCCGCTCCTGCCGCGTCGTCGCCGCCGCTCTGATTAAGGCGCGCGCTGACTAACTCGGGTCCTCGGAACGGTGCAGGGCCCTGGGGGTACAGTAGTGGACAGGCAGGCATGACCGCCGCCCTCATGGAACATGAAGGGTGGTGGGGGCATCTTCCAGGACTTCTGATCTAACAGTCGCCGAGACAGGATTAGACACGCAAGAGATCGCTGGGTGAGGTGCCTGTGCAGGGTCAGGAGCTGGTGAGAGCTCCCGGCCGCCGTCAGAGGAGAAGAGGAGGGAAGGGTTGGACGGGAGCAGTCACAGGCTGGAGCGAAGCTCCAAGGAAGTCTCAGCTGCGCTGCGCTGATGGGACCTCCCTGAGCAGGCTTCCTGTTGGAGAAACCATGGAGCGGGGCTGGGTGGCCCTCCCACGCCCGCTGTGCTCAGCCATGAGGGCGAGCGGCCTGAGCGAAGCGTGGCTCCGTGCTCCTCCGAGCCGCAGGGAGACGCCAGCAGGGGCCACGTTCCTCACGCAGCCCGGAGACCTGCAGCTCCGCTTCCCGTCACCGCCAGGGTGCCGCAGACTCCCTTCTCGCGCACGCTCCCCGTGGTCCTCCCGCGCCTTCATGCCTGGCGGGAAGCTTGGAAGAGGGAGGGTGTGGGGTGAACTGAGCCTCCCGTGGCTGCACTTGGCCTCACGGCCTCAGAGGTAACCGTGCTCTCCCTCCCTCCACTCTCAGCTCTCCTCGCTCCCAGATACCGCCTTTGCTGGCTGACCTAGCGGTGTAACCCAAACCTCCTACCGAGGGGTCTGCTACGTTGGAAATCACACCCTTCTCAGGCCAGGGTTGCCGCACGCGTCCATTCACGGTTACCTCCGGGTGAGGAGCGCCAGTGGGCACCCAGCTGGGCCACCCTGGTTCCACACAGCTTCTCTCCTGCCCTCATCTTGTCGATACAGCGCCCCCTTCCCTCTGTGGGTTGGGGTAAACCATCTCTGCCAAGATGCCGACGCCTCTTCTCACTTGCTGGTCCTTGGATTGGAGGGGTCCGAGTGATTGGGCAGCAGTCCTAGTTTGTAGTTCAAGGGACTCTTGCCATCCTCCCGCACAAGAGTGTGACCCCATCGGTGACCAGGCCCTCCAGGCCTGCAGAGTCCAGAACTGAAGGAAGGAGATGCCCAGAGCGCCCCGCTAGGCCACTGACAGTGGTGTAAGCGGGGCTACTTCTGTGCCTACTCCTGATTCCCAGGTGTACGTACTCCTGCGTGCATGCGTGCTAAGCCGCTTCAGTCCTGTCCGATTCTTTGCGACCCCCATGGACTGTAGCCCAGCAGTGTCCTCTGTCCATGGGGTTCTCCAGGCAAGAATACTGGAGTGGACTGCTGTGTCCTCCTCCAGGGGATCTTTCTGACCCGGGGGATCGATCCCATATTTCCTACGTCTCCTGCATCAGCAGGCAGGTTCTTTACCTCTAGCGCACCTGGGAAGCCCCATGTATTCTTCCTACTGAGACATTTAGAGGTCCTCTGATGCCAGCCCACTGCTTGTAGCCTGCTGGGCCTAAAGATGGTGCTTCAGCTGTGTCTTCAGTAGGCTGTTCCAGTATTCTGTGAGGCTGGCTGATTCTGGAAGGGGCAGTGGGTGATACCAACTGTGTTCTTGGCCGGGAAGTGGGTCCCCTGATCGGATGCCATGTTACGTGGGATTCTGTCCTGTGGCTCAAGCATTCTGTAAGCCTCCAGACAGGGACACTGCCTGAGCATCTGTGAAGAGGAAAGGAAATTGCATATCCAGAATAGGGATCAATTCCTCTGAGGGCGGACTACCAGCCCTTCTAAAGTAGAAGGGGCTCAGTGTTGTTCGCCTGCCACCGAGCAGACGGTTTGGTTTGCTCAACGAGTAATGCCAGGGCACGGAATCTACACCAGTTTGTGTCTGTGGTTCACGGGCTAAATATTCAGAGGCAGTGGCAGCTAGATCAGCCTTAGCAAACAGAGGCACACATTGTAGATTCACAGGTAGCATTCATCTCTTCTCCTGGGTCAGTATTTCCACTCTGCTGTGACAATAATGAAAGTTGGCTCATGTCAACTGTCATTTTTGTCTACTTGATTGTTCACCGTCTCTTCCACAGTAGATGCTTTCTGCTGGGCATTACTGTGGAAAATAAAAATCCTCATACTTTGTGCCCATAACAAATTGCTATCTATTTGCTTCTATCCCAGAACTTCTTATTTCCTAGTCTTCCACTGCTTTACCTTCTAGGTTCCTGGTTAATGGCCTGGGTAGGTCATCGGTCACTGCCCACGAATCTATATATATATATTCTTGCCTAGGGTCACTTTTTGTTACACACAAAATTAATGATGAGATACATCACTTGCTCTTTGGGGAGATTTCTGCTCTCCACTGTGTTACAAGGCCATTACCATCCACTTTTAGTTTCCACCCACATATTGACCTGATCCAAAGGCACACCAAGCTTAGTCTTTTTTTCCTCCTACAGCTGGTCATAAAGGGCCCCACAGATAGTCACAGATGTAATCTGGGACAGAGGCTACCTGTTCATGAAGCTTATTTGTGCCCTCTGGTCTTGCTTCTGCTTGTAGACATTAAGTAGCACTGGCCAATTTTGCCCCTTGAGATACCACATTCTCTTAATTTTCTCTACAACTTCCTGGATCAAGCATCCTTGTCTGCCACCCTGTCCTTGCTGGTTGTTATGGTAACTGTGGCCTTCTGGCTGTTAGTGGCTGAGCTCCACTGACCTGCCTCTCTTACTTCGCATCCTAAGTGCAGTTGTATGATCTGCCTGGCCTGCAGACAAGGCCACCCCTGAACTCCTGACTATTATTGGCGCCCCCTCACCAGCACATTCCCGATGGCTTTGGAATCTTCTGGGCCCCTCATGGAATATATAATTCCGCAGTAGGTCTCCTAGTGTCAGTGATATATCTACTCCAGCATCCCAGTTTCTTTAGCTTTCTTATTCCCTCCTATACTATATGAAGGGCAGCTCGGGCATTTCCACTTTGTCCAGCCGAGGACATTGTTTTCTTCCAGGCATCTAAGAGCCATCACAGCCAAAGGTTTGTCCCATCCCCTTGGGTCCTTGCCAGGGTAGTAAATCCCATGTCCTGAGAAAGTTGTCTCAGGTTCCTGAATTTTTTCTTATCTAGTTTTATTTTGTAACTCCCTTGATCAAGTGCTGTGTCCCCAGAATTCAACCCCAGAGGCAATCCCCAGCTCACATATTAACATAACACATGGTAATTCTTGCAGCTTCTTCAACGGAAATCGCTTTCGTTCCTTCTCAGGTACAGCAAGTCTTCAGTCAGGTTAGGTGGGGTTAATCCTAGTCATTACCTTGGCAGTCAGACAGGCAGGCAGAATTAGTTCCTGAGGGGGTTATCTGGTGCTTTGTGGGAAAAAGACCTCAGCAGAATCTTCCTTCTTGGAGCTGCTGGTTCTTCCTCCAGGGAGGCGGGCCACTTCTCCAAGCTCTGGTAATTCAGGGGGCTCCGCAAAGAAGCACCCAGCCAGATTTTTCCATTTCCCATTTCTGTGTCCCAGGTTTTCCCAGTTTCAACCCTTCACTTATCACACAGACCCCCTTTGGCTGAGTCCTTGAGTATCACTGATGTTCAGCAACCTCAGCAATGAGATCTTGATGCTGTCCCTCTGCAGGGATAAGGGCCTCTCTGTAAACTAGTTAAGCGCTCACCTTGCACCTTGGTTTCTAATTATCCCTCTGTGAGGCTTCAGTATAACTTGGTAGTAACCAGCCAACAACACTGCAGGCTGTGTTCTCCACATAGTCTTCACACGCCTGCATCATGCCATCAACGATGAGGGCATTTCCCCAACTGGATGCCTCCCAGATCATCGCTTTCCCAACATCATTCCAAACTCCGTTTCCAGTCTCATCTCCTGCCATCCCTCTTCTCCCACCACCATATTAAGCTCCTCACCATTCTCCAAGAACTTTTTTTTTTTTTGCCACACCGTGCCTACACTGCACAGCTTTGCCTGTGGTGTTACCTCTGCCTACAGTTTCCACTCTTCTGCACCTCTATGACCCATTGGTCAAATGCAGCTCAAGCATCATCTGAGAAGGTCATGAGGTAAACATGCTTTTACTTTAAGGTCAAACAGACTTGGGTTGTAACTCCAGTTTTATCACTTCCTGCTGCAAGAACCCAGCAGCTTCCCTGGTAAGTAACTCCTCTGCTGGTGCTCAGACAGCGGGGAGGATGCGTCTCCTGGTGCGCCACAGAGTGCGGCTCCAGGCAGTGGTGAGGGTGCAGTAAAGTCTGCCCAGGTGGGGTGCAAATGGAGCTGGGCTGGCGTTTTCTAAATGCATCCAAGGATTTCTAAGTGCCAAACCACCTCTGTAGGCCATGGGAACCTACGCCAGTCAGAAGAGTTAGGGCAGAGATTGCTGGAGTGGGTGGTGAGAGGTGTGAGGCTGACTTAGCAGTTAAATACTGGAGCCAGTTGGATCTAGACCCAAACCCTGACTCTGCTGCTCAGTGGTATGACTGTGGGTGATTCACCCAAGCTCTCTGAGCCTCAGTGTCCTGGGAAACCTGGAATCTGTAAGCGTAGCTCATAGCATGGTCGGGTGGGTTGACTGAGGGAATGCGCAGAAAGCATCGGTGCTCTGCTCAGAGCTTCACAGGCGTGGCTGGATGTAGAGGTGACACTGATTGGTCCCCGTTCCCATCCCAGGCGAGGGTCTCTCTAGGACAGAGAACCTGTCTCAGGAGGTGAAAGGCATCTTCCCAGGGCCTGCGGGCCTGCTGGGCGCCTCTGGTCATTAAAGCTCCTTGCCCCTCCTTCTCTCTTGACCCTTCTCCTTTGTGTTCGGGACCCCATTTCTGCCCAGATTCCTGAACCCTGTTCTTCCTAGGTTGTGCCCAGGGCTTTGAATCTCGTCTACTCCCTCACCACGTCAACATTTACCTGTTCTGTCCCCGTTTGATTAGGGCCTTGCTGGGGAGCCACCTAATGAATCTGGTGAAGCAATTAAGGGCGGGGCATTAGTGGCTGGTGATGCGGCATTCCTCCTGGAGCGTCTGCCGTTCCCTTTAATAGGGGTCTTCTTAACTTGATGCGAAGGAGTGACTGATGGGCTCATTTCCAGGCCCTTGCAAGGTCAGCATCACCGGAACACACTTTCACAAAATCAAGCCGGAGGGCTGAACAGAAGCGTGAGGCTGAGGGCAGGGATCTCCTGTTCCTCAAAGTCAGTTCTCGTCACTGGGGGTGCAGAGCTGCTTCAGGGGGCATTTCTGAGCCCCTGCGTGGATCCAGGCCTTTCTTGCCAGGACTGATGGAGAAGCCTGTTCTCCGGGCTTCCTGCCTCCTCGAATAAGTGTCTCTCTAACCTTTTCCCAAACCACCAGTGAGGGACTTTAGACCATACCTGTTTAAGGAGGTCATCCTCTTGCTTAAAACCGGTTGCTGGGTCCCTATGACCTTCGGGTAAAACCTGGACTCTTTAGTCTGAACGTCCTCCTGCCTGCCCTCTGCGCCCTCCTCCAGGGTCAGTTCCTGCCTCCCTCGTCACACCACCCACGTTCCAGGCCAACTGAATGACTTGCTGTTCCTCGAGTCCCGGGGACCTGGTGTTTGCAGGCCCCACACCCAAGTCGCAGCACCCCCATACCACCCCCATCACTCTCTTCCTCCCACTGATGGCCCCGTGAGCTCCTATGAAGTTTTTCAGAACTCATCTGTTATTACCTTCTGGTAAAGTCTTCACTATCCCTTCACTATTCCACTTTGGCAGAATGAGCCATTTTCTCTTCTGTCCTACCAAATGTGAAAAAAGTGAAAAATGAAAGTGCTACTCACTCAGTTGTGTCCGACTCTCTGAGATCCCATGGACTATAGCCCACCGGGCTACTCTGTCCATGGGATTCTCCATGCAAGAACACTGGAGTGGGTTGCCATTCCCCTCTCCGGGGGATCTTCCTGACCCAGGGATCGAACCTGGGTCTCCCACACTGCAGGCAGAATCTTTACGGTATGAACCACTCCAGAAGCCCACCAAGTGTACCTCCATGATGATATTTCCACTTTCAAAAAGGTCCACATTTTATATGTATCATCCCACATTCAGTGAAAGCTCTTTGGGTATTTGGAGCATGTCCTGTTTGAATCCTCAGCCTCAGGGATTCCAGGTGATCAATAAATGTATTCTGAGTGAGATGAATATGGCTATGAATGAACAAAACTTAATTTGCACTCTGTATCTACCACACATTATTGAGCAATTTATTTAATCTCTGAGTGCGTCCGTTTCCTATTTTGGCAAACAGGAACAAAAGACCAACCTATGGAGACAGGAAGGAGATTTTGTGTACACGAGTGCTCTGCGCCAAGCTCGGCACAGACTAGGCTGTTAAGTTGGCCTGCTCCCCTCTGCCGTGGCCTGCCTGGGGACATATCTGAGTTGAGCTGAGTCACAGTACTTTTGAAGACACATGCCCAGATTCACAGGAGAAGGCAATGGCACTCCACTCCAGAACTCTTGCCTGGAAAATCCCATGGACGGAGGAGCCTGGTAGACTGCAGTCCATGGGGACACTGAGAGTCAGACATGACTGAGCGACTCCACTTTAACTTTTCCTTTCATGCATTGGAGAAGGCAATGGCAATCCACTCCAGTGTTCTTGCCTGGAGAATCCCAGGGACGGGGGAGCCTGGTGGGCTGCCGTCTATGGGGTTGCACAGAGTCGGACACGACTGAAGCGACTTAGCAGCAGCAGCAGCCCAGACTCACAGGAGAAATCAAGGTACTTAGGGGGAATCCAGCATTTGCTGAGCACCTTCTGTGTGCCCAGCCTTGGACTTGACATTTTACACACTTTTCCCAAAGCTCTTTCTTCAGGTGTCCAGCTTGCTGACTGTGTTGTACTTAGAGAGTAACAGTGGTTGCTCAGTGAACATTTTAATTTAAATAAATTGAACAATGTTTTTTACACCGATTCAGAGTTTGAGGACCATTTTCTTCTGCTGCACCTTCTCAGTAACTAAATTACAGATTTTCCTTGAACAACTTATGGTAACAGATGTATATGCTGTTACTGCTGATGGCTTGAAAGAGACTAGTCCTTCAGAATGGAATAAACATGTTTGGCTTGCAGTTTCTGCCCGATTCATGAGTAAAGAATTTGAAGAAATAAATCTCAACTGTAAATTGACATTTTGTCCACCAATAACAGATAGAGAAAATGAGAGGGAGAGAGAGAGAGAAAGGGAGATTCCTATGTGTTTATGAACACGAGGAGATAAAGTTTCCTCCTTTGGTAGCTATTCAGAGCCTAACCTGGACTTTTGGAATAGCTTACTTGTTAAATGCTAGGAGAATCAAATAATTGCAAGTTGTTCAGATTGCTACAGAATGTCAGTCTTTGAGATGTATTGTCTGTACAGACTGACAAGAAAATCTTTCAGGAGCCAGAACCAGAAGACTTTCTAGACACAAGAGGAAAAAAATCCTATGATGAGCTTTTGGTTACAAAACATTTTCAGACAAAGGGAGGTGACAATGAAACATCATTTCCTTGGCTTTGTGCAAACTGTCTGTGAGTATCTGGGCAAGACTCTTTCAATCCTTCACTGTCAGATATGGATTCTACTATATGCTTACAGAATACTATTTCCTACCTAAGAAATGTGTAACCAGAAGGGTACACAGGTAATGGTATTTTGCTGATGTTTAATGAGTATGTGTTTATTTATGATGAAGCAATTATTTATAGGATACCTCATAAATGCCAGATAGTGCTTTAGGCACTGGGAAAATAGCAAAGAGCAAAATAATGTTTGCTGTCACAGAGTTTAGCTTCTGAAGGCTGGGGCTGGGGGTAGGTGGAGAAAACATGGTTGTCAAATAAATTAATGAACAAGAAAAATATCAGACCGAAAAGTGGCAAACATGGGGGAACACTGAAGCCCCTGTAGTGGGACGGGGCTGGCATGCTGTGAGAGCGAAAGGCAGGTCACCACTGAAGCCCCTGTAGTGGGACGGGGCTGGCATGCTGTGAGAGCGAAAGGCAGGTCACCACTGAAGCCCCTGTAGTGGGACGGGGCTGGCATGCTGTGAGAGCGAAAGGCAGCCCACATGGGTGGGGAGAAGAGATACGTGCATGGTAGGAACTGGCTGAAACAGCGGATGGGGAAGTCTGGGTGCTGGACTTGGATTTTACTCAGGGCAGTGGGAAACTGCTGGGGGATGTTGACCTGAGCAGTGACAGACTCTAAAGAACATCTAGAAATGTGGGCAGAGAACAGATCCCAGTGTGCTGAGAGTGGACGCGAGGTTTCTAATCAGAAGGTGCAGTTCTGGATCAGGAAAAACACGATGGTGGCACAGACCAGGGAAACACTAGTAAAGATGGAACGAGGGAAACTATCCTACGTACGATTCACGTCCGGCTTCGTTTATGAGCTGCTCATGAAACTTTTCCAAATGAAATTTTAGGCAGGAGAACAAACTCCTGGGAGAAACTAATCTAATTCTGTCAAAGAAGTGGCAAAGGAAATAGACTGTCTTAGCCTTTTTGACATTGAAACACTAAATATAAGCCAAGATCTGTGGTTTACACATTATCTTATTTAATCATTTAAATTCTAAGAAGGAGATATTATAATTACTTCTATTTTATGATATGAGGAAACTAAGGCTTAGAGACCCAAGGTCACACAGCTAATAAATGGTATAGTTAACAAACAATACAATTTAAAAATGGGCATATACATGAGACAAGTGCTCGGGCCTGGTGCACTGGGAAGACCCAGAGGGATGGGGTGGAGAGGGAGATGGGAGGGGGGACCGGGATGGGGAATACATGTAAATCCATGGCTAATTCATTTCAATGTATGACAAAAACCACTGCAATGTTGTAAAGTAATTAGCCTCCAACTAATAAAAATAAATGGAAAAAAAAATGGGCATATAGTTTTAAAAACAAGCATATAGTTAACAAACAGTATAATTTGAAAAATGGGCATTTTTCCAAAGAAAACATTCAGATGGCCAATAGGTACACGGAAAGATGTTCAACATCACTAATTATCAGGGAACTGTGAATCAAAGCTACAATGATATCACCTCAGACCTGTCAGAATGGCTATCATCAAAAAGCCAACAAATTCTAAGTGTTGGCGAGGATGTGGAGAAAAGGGAAGCCTTGGGTGGGAATGTAAATTGGTGTTGCTACTATGGAAAACATGGAGGTTTCCCTCCAAATTAAAAATAACACTGTCATATAATCCAGCAATTCCATTCCTGGGTATTTATACAAAGAAAGTAAAAACACCAATTAGAAAATATATATGCACCCCAATGTTTATAGCAGCATTGTTAACAATAGCCCAGATACAGAAGCAACATAAGTGTCTACCAACAGATAAATAGATAAAGAAGATATGGTATACACACACACACACACACACAATGAAATATCAGTCATAGAAAAGAATGAATCTTACCATTTGCAATAACTTGAATGGACCTGAAAGTGAAATTTGCTCAGTCACGTCCGACTCTTTGCGACCCCATGGAGAATTCTCCAGGCTGGAATACTGGAGTGGGTATCTGTTCCCTTCTCCAGGGGATCTTCCCAACTGGGGATAGAACCCGGGTCTCCTGCATTGCAGGCGGATTCTTTACCAGCTGAGCCGCCAGGGAAGCCCTAAGTCAGACAGAGAAAGATAAATACTGTACCCTTTCACTTACACGTGAACTCTAAAACACAAGCAAGTATAACAAAACAGAAACAAGGGCCGTAGATACAGAGAACCAACTCGTGATGAGAAGGGAGAAGGGCGGGAGGAGGGGTGAGATCAGTGGGGGGATTAAGAGGCACAAATTCCCAGTTATCCAATAAAGGTTACAGCGCTGTGACGTGCAGCTGCTGACTCTCTCCCTAAATGGCTGGATCCTGATAACAGTTCCAGCAGGGTGTTATTCCACCAAGGGGAGTTTGCATTATTCCTGCACCAAACAAGTCTGGAACAGTATCCTGGTTACCCACCACACCCCTGACTATCTCACAAGCACTGAGTACAATCTCAACACACCCACAAAAAAATTGTGGCTTCAGAATCTGCACGAGCTTCTGTGAATGGATGTATCAGAGGGTACCCAGAAAACATTAACGCCTCCCTGCACCAGGCACAATGCTTCCTCCCAGCTGGCATTGCAGCGGTACTGAAGACCACCCCAGATGGGTGGTGGCCGGAGTCCAGGCATTTTACCTCCGGGATCCCACTGACCTGCAGGCCTGTCGTATTTGCAAGACATTCTCGCCTGAAATATAAAAAATGACGTCGGTCACTTTCACTGAATGTCTATATGCACAGTTGGTGCAACAAAAGTTCGTGCCAGACCAGTGGAGTGGATACAAGCTGCCTCCTCTGTCTCATCCCCAGTCCTGAGCCCATGAATTGGGCATGAAGTGGGCTCGTGGATCTGAGATCTTATGCTCCAAATGTAGCACATTTTTCTGACTCCAAGAAATGCTTTGTGACTGCCTCACCATTCTGGGCTGGCTTCCTTAAAAGCCTGAAAAAGAATGATCACTTCAAGGACCGACAGAAGGTTCCGCTTAGTGCCAGGGAAGGCTAGAGATGGCAGAGAACTGCTTCCGGCTCTGTGTACAGCGGCCAGAAAGTACACGCAGAAAGAATCCACTTACCATTGCAGGAGATCCCTGGACCCAGAAGATCCCCTGGAGGAGGAGGAAATGGCAACCCACTCCAGGATTCTCATCTGGGGAATCCCGTGGACAAAGGAACTTGGTGAGCTGCAGTCCATGAGGTTGCAGAGTCAGACAGGACTGAGCACCACCACCACAAAGCTCAGGGAATAAATACAGAGTCAGCATTTTATAATAACCTGGTACGGCGCTGGGGCTTAGCTGGTAAAGAATCCGCCCGCAATCCAGGAGACCTGGGTTCCATCCCTGGTTGGGAAGATCCCCTGGAGAAGCGAAAGGCTACCCACTCCAGTATTCTGGCCTGGAGAATTCCATGGACCGTATACTTCATGGGGTCACAAAGAGTTGGACATGACTGAGCGACTTTCACTTCACTGAATGGTGTGTTATCTATAAAAACATCAAATCACTTTGTGGCACATCCAAAACTAATTTAATATTGTAAGTAAACTACAATTAAGAACAAAAGATACAGTTAGAACCTATAACCTAGGACTATTTCTACCAAAACCAGTTTTAAAATTTAGCTACCAAGCTATGGGGCTTCCCTGGTGGCTAAGCTGGTAAAGAGTCCGCCTGCAATGCAGGAGACCTGGGTTCGATCCCTGGATTGGGAAGATCCCCTGGAGAAGCGAAAGGCTGCCCACTTCAGTGTTCTGGCCCGGAGAATTCCCTGGACTCCAAAGTCCACGGGGTCGCAAAGAGTTGGACACGACTGAGGGACTTTCACTTCCATCAAACTATACTTCAAGAATGAAATATATGTGATTTTCTGCAATATGCAGGACATTTCTTCGCTTTACCAAGGACTCTCTCTGAGTTCAACCACTGAATATATAGCAGGGTCAATATCACATGGCTTGAGTCTGCAGCTGTGACTTTGGAACAAGATATAAAGAGGGCCAAGGACTTGTCCGGTGGGTTGTACGCTTCTTATGAGGTTCTAATGTAGGTGCACGCACCTCACCAAGCAGTTATGGGACAATCTTCACCAGCTGAGCGCTGCTAATGACGCAAGTTTACGTTCTAATTTTGAAATCCTATTGTTTCTACTTTAGTGCCTCCTAATGCCATAGCCCTTTTTCTATGGCCTCTTTCAATATTTTCCTTAGGCCCTTATCTCCTGGTAGTTAATCAGAATAATATTGCTTCCGACACATCTTTTCACATTATTACCTCGACTCTCATGGCACTGTGAAATAGATACTACATTTTGTTGGTTTCTTGATACATAAACCATTTTTTCACATTGTAACATCTTTGAAACTGTAATAGGTTTTATTCTCAATGACCACTTACACTTGCTCTCCATGTAGTAGCGGAGCTGTATTAACAGGAAGGTATCAGTAGTGGTGTATTTGTCATTGCCTATGCTAGCTCAGTCTGACATATTTTTCCTGGTGAAATACATGGAATTCATTGTTGTCAACCGCTAGCTCCTAACAGACTATTCAAGAAAGGAATATGAGTCTTGGTTATTGCCTTAAAACCTTCTATTGAACAAACTGGGACACTTTCCAGCAACAATATTTTCAGAATGAATGGGGCTTTAAAATTGCAGAAACAGTGGTGCAGCATTCTTTAAACCATGGCACGTCACCGGGGCATCCGCGGCACAGAGGATGTTTCCAAACAGATGGAACATGGGTGCAGGCTGCTCTGAAACTGAGAGGGACCCAGGAAAGGCGCATTGTGAATGTGAAGAAACTTCAGGAATACCCGGAGATTCTCAAACTTTATTGGTTCATGACATTTCTAGGGTCTGAGTTCTTTTTCCTAGCACATCTAGGCTAAAAGAAATACCTAACAGTTTCATTTTTTAAATCCTTTGATCCAGCAACTTAATAGCCATTTGTAAAAATAACTTTTGGGGCTTCCGGTGGTGCAGGGGATAGCATCCAGCTTGCAACGCAGGGGCTCCGGTTTGATCCCTGGCCCGAGAAGATTCCACGCGCACAGAACAACCAAGCCCAGGCACCACAGCTGCGGAGTCAGTGCTCTCGGGCCCGCGAGCCCCAAGCCCTGAGCCGAGCCTCTGCGGCTGCCGCGGAAGCCCGTGCAGCCTACTGCCTGCGCTCCGCGACTAGAGAGGCACCGCAGTGAGACGCCCGCGCCCCGCGATGGAGCGGAGCCCCACTCACAGCTAGAGAAGGGCCACGTGCCGCAACGAGACCCAGGGCAGCCAAAAATAGAAAGAAATATACACAAATAAGCTCTAAAAAACCTTCTTAATCTCCCTCTTAGATAACTGGACTTACTCACTAGCGGAATGGGTGTGCTTTGGGGGCCCTACGCAGCTTTTCAAACCGTGGAATCAAACTGGACGCTGGCACCTTCACTTCCCGCCCCACGTCGTTTTTCAGTACTGGCCTTCTTTTATCACAGCAATTGCCAATAACCCAACTTGACAAAATACAGCGTCATCAGAGTGTACTCTGATCCCATGTTGAATTTATGAGTAACTTGGAGCTCATAGTTGGCACCATGTCTAACATATGTCAAACATTATTGTGTTTCCCCTGAAAATATAAACTGTCCCACGGTACCCGGTTAGTTCACTGGTCCTTGAGGTGAGTTGGTGTGTATTTTGGGAACCATGACCTTAACCAATCCATTTGGCTCATGGTTTACTTTTATGAATGCATAAGGGTAATACATAGTAAAATAGTAATGTCTAAGTAAGTATATGAGACCAATTCAATACATATAAAATAAACACTCCAAAGTGATAAATCATTTTGTCATAGTTGTAGTGACAGAAATTTTTCTTTCTTTGAGGAACATAAGTGCTTCTTATAACTGATGGCATCTTACCTTCTATAGATCAAGCTAATAAGGCATTAGATTCTGAATTGATCTCCCAGCCTCCAGCACTTAATGCTCTTTTGCCAGATTCGTTACCCTTGCTCAGAATTTTCAACACTTTTCTTTATCAGAATATTCAAAATTTGCCTTTGCCTGCATGATAAAATCTAGGTTTCTCAATGTGACAAGTAATGCTCTCTGCAGTGTTTTCTAATCTACCCACCTCTGTAGCCTTATTCTTTACCTTTCAGGGCCAAGAGATGCTCAGCTTGCTTCTTCTAGTAACTGATAAAGCACTTCTCCACTCCAGGCTTCAGTCTCCCCATCTATAAATTAAAAGGTTGGGTCACTTACGCAGTTCCTAGCTTTTTGAAAAGAAATATGGAGACTGACATAGGGTTTCCAACATTTTAGTCTATGATTAAATTTGGTGTTCATATAGTTGGTCTATGGTAATAGGACTGTATTGCAAATAAAGTGAGCTATAACAACATAAATGAAAAACGCGGAATGAAGTTAGCTATATAAAAACTCAGCAACTGGCGTTTAAAGAGCATCTGGGTTGGGGTGCTGGGAGGGAGGCATACCTTTCAGGGTGTGGAAACTGCACCCCTTCTCCCAAACCTTGTCCTGACAACACCTCTTCCATCTGGCTCTTCAGAGTGGTATCCTTTTATAACAAACTGGCAATCTAGTAGATAGAAAAAGAAAAAAACACTCAGTCCATCGTCTTTATTGTTTTCACTGGGCTTTGTGGACCTTATAGACCATTGAGCCTTGGTTCTTAGGCCAGCATACGGGCCCATCTAGATTCTTACTATTCAGATTGAAGCGTTACACCGGGAGCATCACGTCACCTGGAAATCTGTCAGAAATGCCAAATCTCTGGACCGGTTGAATCAGTCTCCAGTTTGAACATGACCCCCTGGTGATTCACAGATGCACTAAAGTCTGAGAACCCCTTGGACCCAGCACTATCCAGCAGGGGCATTTTGGTCACCTCCAGGCCCTCCTCCCACTTTCCTGCATTGGAGACGGGAATGGCAGCCCACTCCAGTGTTCTTGCCTGGAAAATCCCATGGACGGGGAGCCTGGTGGGCTGCCGTCTATGGGGCTGCACAGAGTCGGACACGACTGAAGCGACTTAGCAGCAGCAGTATGTCCTCCTCCTACTGATTCTTCAGGTTCATCTTTGCTCCCCTGTCCTTTAGCTCTGCCAGGCTTTAGTCAAGTTGGTTTTCCAGTCTAAGTCACCACTTTCTCAGCTATGAAATGGGAATGATAGTATCGATTTCGTTGGGTTGATGAGCTAATATATGGGAACTTGGTGCCACAGTGCTTGCGTAGCTGCTCGTGTGGTTGTTCCAGCCAGAACAGTGACAGCGTACCACACAAAGCCCCCTGTCCTGGGGTGTGGGCACTGCTAAATCAGTGCTTGTTGGTTACTGGAGCCTCATCTTGACTTGCTAGGCAGCTCCTCATAGGCCTGGTGGGTCCTGGAGGTTGTCAGAAAGCTGACTGTGAGATTTCTGCATGTGTGTGATATTGCATTTTTGCATCATATAGGTTTTTCTCACACATCCAATGCCAAGTGCCTCATTTCTGTGTTTTGTCCTCTGGCACTTGACCCTTGACAGGCAGGCGTGGTGGGTGGAAGGCTTTCAGGAAGCCTCCCTCTCAGAACCTCTCCTGTCCTTCCCCGTGAGGTTGCTGCGATGCAGGGTGTCCCAGCAGCCAGCCAGGGTGAAGTGTCCTGGTTCCAACCAGACGCTGTCTCTCTGCATCACGCTGCTTGTCTCAGCTGTTCAGCGTGGACGTCTGCATTCCAGCCCCACTCTCTCACAGCTGTCTGCTCACAGACGCCGATGGCTTTAGGCAACACGTCTGTCTAGAAGAAGGAAGCAACGACAACGCACAGGCTGGTGCTGGTGCTTCGTCCACTGCAGCACCACAGACGTCCTTTCTCCCTGGCCTCCTGTAGTGTCAAACACTACTGTAAAAATGCCTTGAGGGCTTCCCTGGTGCCTCAGATGGTCAAGCATCTGTCTGCAATGCTCGAGACCCAGGTTTGATCCCTGGGTCGGGAAGATCCCCTGGAGAAGGAAGTGGCAACCCACTCCAGTACTCTTGCCTGGAAAATCCCATGGACAGAGGAGCCTGGTAGGCTATAGTCTATGGGGTCGCAAAAAGTCGGACACGACTGAACGGCTTTACCTTACCTTACATTCTCTAGATGGAAGCATACTTCCATTTGACCTGGGTAACTCTAAAATAAATAAAAATTAAAAAAAAAATACCTTGAAAACTTTTGATTTAAATGTTAAAGCAATTTCAGGGAAATAGAGATCCATCACATGGTTCCTTTGGGCCTTCTCTGCCCCCAGCTCTAATTGATGCTCATTCTTTTTTGGTTAAATCACCAGGTTTATTTTGGCAAATCTAAAGTAAACACACTTCGCCCTCTTTCTTGCCACTCCCCTTTGGTAAAGTCAGGGCTGGTGTTTGTGTGAATCAGTTTCCTGAAACCAGGTCAACATGAGCAGAGAGGGCTTAGAAACCAAGTCCCTCTGGTGTTCATTGGAACAGCTTAAAATCTCTTCTAAACTGAGGCCATCATCCTCACTGGGATTTCACCATTTGGCTGATTAGCTTCTCTTTCTATTACAAGCCCTAATAAAGGCTGTATGTCTCATTGGAAACACCCAGGTTCTCTGCACCCTCAAACCTACCATTTAAATCCGAGACGCTCAGGGAGATCATTAATTCAGACATTTGACTGAACAGAGCCCTTTATCCATTTTTTCCCCCAAAGTAGCAAGTTATGCTAAGTGCAGGAGAGGAAAACTCAATAACTCATGGAAAAGGCATTCATTTTACTTTTAAATTTCAATCACCAGAGTGAAGGGTCAGGAAAGGCCATGACAGAAATTCCTGCAGAAGAAAATCTCCCTGTTGCCCTACAGCCAGTCATCTTGCTGCTGCATAAATCATTGCATTCCGAGCCGTGTCAGCTCCAGCTGTAATCCGAGTGCCAAAGAGAAGGGCTTTCTTCAGGGCTTCTGAATGTGACAGTCGTATTTATTTTGGGTCAGCCTGATGGATGAAGGGCCCTTTCAAAATAGCACGATTCATTCAAGAGTCGTTCCTACATGTGCTGTTGGTGCTGGCCCAGTCCCGCTGTAGGAACGAGGGGTCCGCGGTGCTGTGCACAGCCCCGCCTGCGGCATACACTGGCCTCCTGTCCCCTCCAGGGCCACCGTGCCGGCCCTCCACATCCTCATGCTTCAGTCTTTCGGTGGGATACCACGATGTGTAAAGATAAGGAAGGTGTATATTAAAAAACGGAGACGTTACTTTGTCAACAAAGGTCCATCTAGTCAGGGCTATGGTTTTTCCAGTGGTCATGTACAGATGTGAGAGTTGGACTGTGAAGAAAGCTGAGTGCTGAAGAATTGATGCTTTTGAACTGTGGTGTTGGAGAAGACCCTTGAGAGTCCCTTGGACTGCAAGGAGATCCAACCAGTCCATCCTCAAGGAAATCAGTCCTGGTGTTCATTGGAAGGACTGATGCTGAAGCTGAAACTCCAGTACTTTGGCCACCTGATGGGAAGAGCTGACTCATTGGAAAAGACCCTGATGCTGGGAGGGATTGGGGGCAGGAGGAGGAGGGGACGACAGAGGATGAGCTGGTTGGATGGCATCACCAACTTGATGGACATGAGTTTGAGTCAAACTCCGGGAGTTGGTGATGGACAGGGAGGCCTGGTGTGCTGCAGTGCATGGGGTTGCAAAGAGTTGGACATGACTGAGCGACTGAACTGAACTGAACTGATGCTCTTTTAAAAATTCTTTTATTTATTTTAAAATTTCTTTTCATTGCGCCGGGTCTTCACTGTTGCATGTGGGCGTTTCTGTGGTTGCAGACAGTGGGGGCCCCTCTCTAGCTGCAGTGCCCAGGCTTCGACTTGCCGCGGCTTCTCTTGTTGATGAACACGGCTCTAGGGCAGGTGGGCTCAGCACTCGCAGTTCCCAGGCTCTAGAGCTCAGGGGTTGAGGTACACGGGCTTCGTTGCTCCATGGCAGGTGGGATCTTCCTAGATCAGGGGTTGGCAGGCAGATTCTTTACCACTGAGCCACCAGGGAAGCCCAGGGTCTTGACTCTAATCCGTAGCCAATGAACAAAGTAGAAAATTTCGCAAAGCTAGTTTTCCAAACTAGATATTCCTGGGCTCCTTAACCCTTCAGATTCTTTCCCACCCTCCGCACAGTAAGAGGCTGGAGGCCGGCCTCCAGCCGGC